TCTCCAGCTGGCGTACTCAGCCAGTCAACCCTGGAGACAGCTTCAACCTGTCGCTGGGCTTGCTCAGCCTCGTCTGGGGGTGGTCCTCTTCTGTTAAGTACCCCCCCCCCCCCCCTTGAACCGTGTTATCAGATCGACGTTACGCTGTTTAGTCTCGTTCCAGTCGATCCAAGTGCTCCTCGCTTGCGCTTTGAAGAGGAGGAGGATTTCTGAGCGTATACCGTGGCAACACCTGGAGAATAAACAGGTGTGACCTTAAACTAAATAATAAACAAATGATAAAAGATACTGCACAGTTAGCACCGTCTCATCACAAAAACAACAAGTCTCATTAAGATTGCACTATGTATTGCTATATGTAGTATTGATATATTGTGCATTTTACGAGCTCTCTCCCCAAACTCATTATGGGTTGCACAATGAACAAGAAAGGCTTCATCAATTCTATAATCCGTCTCTCTCCTCCTCTCTGTTCTCTCTCCTCTCCTGTCTTCTCCTCTTCTCTCTCTCTCTCTTCTTGGTTCTTCTCTCTGTCCTCTCTGTCCTCTCTCGCCTCTCTCTTCTTCGCTCTCCTTCTTCTTCTCTGCTCTCTCCTGTCTCTCTCTTCTTCTCTCTCTCTCGTTTCTCCTCTCTTTCTCTCTTCCTCTGTTCTCTTCTCTCTCTGTCTTCTCGTCTCTCCTTCTCTCTCTCTCTTTCTGTCTCCTCTCTTGTCTCTCGTTCTCTCCTCTCTCTATCTGCTCTACTGTCACTCTCTCTCTCTCTCTGTTTCTCTTCTGTCCTCTTTCTGTCTCTCTCTCTCTTGCTCTGCTTCTCTCCTCTCATCCTCTCTCTCTCTGTCTCTGTCTCTTCCGCTCCTGTCGTCGTCTCTCTCGCTTCTCCTCCTCCCTCTCTCTCTCTCTGTCATCTGGCTCCTCCTCTGTCTCCTCGTCTCTCTGCTCCTCTCTCTGTCTTCTTCTCTCTCTTTTCTCTCTTCTCTGTCTCTCTCCGTCCTCTCTCTTCTGTCTCTCTGTCTCTTCTCTCTGCTCTCATCTATGTCTCTTCTCTCTCGTCTCTCGTTCTCAACATCTCTCCTCTCTGTCTCTGTCACTGTCTTCTCTCCTTCGTCTCTCTTCTCTTCTCTCTCGTCTCTCTCGTCCCTCCTTGTCTCTCTCTCGTCTCTCTCTCTTCTCTCTGTCTTCTTCTCTTCTCTCTTCTCTCTTCCTCGTCTTCTCCTCTCTGTCTTCTCTCTTTCTCTCGCTCTGCTCTTCTATCTCTCTCTCTTCGTCTCTGTCTCTCTGTCTCCTCTCTGCTCTCTCTGTCTCTCTCTCTTGTCTCTCTTCTCTGTTCGTCTCTCTCGTCTTCTCTGCTTATGTCTTCTCTCTCTGTCTCCTCTGTCTCTCTCTCTGCTCTCTCGTCTCTCTGTCTTCTTCTCTCTGTCTCTCCCCCTTCCCCCCTTGCTGTGGACTCGTCTTGCGACCCCAGAAATCACTGGAGTCAGAAGGAGTCGCCTCCCGAGCCACGTCCTGGGCCAGGACATTCTGCACCTCAACACCCACCGTCCTGCTCGGCTGTTTCATACTACCTGAGGTAAACAACCTGTAAACAACCTGAAACAACCTTAAACAACGAAACGAGAAAACACATTTTTCTCAAAACACTTTAATTCTCTTAATCTGACGTTTTCATAACTTGTTTTAGAACCAAAAAAAAAAAAGAAAAAAAAAAAAAAAAAAAATTTTCGATTATCTAATAAAGAAGTATTTTTTGGAACACTGGTGAAAATAATAATAATAAAATAAACATAATATTAATCAAAAAGGAGGGAAAACCCAGGAAGTTTATTTAAATAACATCGGAGGAATTCAAAATAAAACAGGAACTAACGTAGAAATTGGAGTGTTAATAAAGTCGAAGATTATTTTTTCTGAACATTTTTTTAGAATAAATTTACAATATGTAATAATCAATCAGTATAAAAGTAATAGATAATAAAACTTATTCTCGACAGTTTATAAACGTATTAGAAAGCAGAAACCTTGATGTACGTCATCCGGCAGCGCGGTCGGCGCTGGCGTTACTTTCGGCATTCTTTATCAACATCGTTCTTTCGGCACGTCGGCGTCTACTCCCCCAGTCTTCTCCGTCCCTTACGGGGAGCGCCCGCTGCTGGTCCGCTTTCCACTGGGACGTCCCGCAGCGTGCATCGCTCTGTCCGAGCACGCCTCTTTCCCTTCTTACTGCGTCCGATGCACGGGAAAATCTCTGTTTACACATCATACACACATCTCAGTACACACATCGCAGTACAACATCTGCAGTACACATCAGTTAACATGGCATTTACACATCTGCAGTTACACACGCAGTACCATCTTCCAGTACACACATCTGGCAGTTACACAACATCTGCAGTAGCACATCTCAGACACATCTCAGTTACACAATTCTGCGTTACACACACTGCATTACACACATCTGCAGCTACACACATCTGAGTTACACATCTGCATTACACACTCTGCAGTTCACACACACTGCATCACCATCTGCAGACAGACTGCAGTACACACGATGGAATGGGGATGGATATGATCATTTTCATTATAATATTCGATCCATATTGATAAGGTATTGTTTGGCGGTATTATATATTGTAAGTACATTGATAGGGTAGTGACCGAGTATGCATTAGGGTATTATCCATATTTGATAAGTTCTGATAGGTTATTGACATATTTGATAAAGGGTTTGATCAGTATATCAGTATTGATGTCGGTATTAAAGATTGATGGTTATATGAAGTATTGGAGTGGTATGATAGTATATAAGTATTGATTTTATGGTATTGAATCCCAAAAACAACTATTGATAATTATTGGGGAGGTATATCCATATTGATAAGGTATTGATTCCATATATAGGTTGATAAGGATTTGAAAATGGTATTGATCCATATGTAAAGGGTATTATAGGTATTATCAGTATTTGATAATAGGTATTGGAAGTATTGATTCAACTTGATAATATTGATGGGGTAATGAAGATATGGGGTATTATAGCGGTATTTCCAGTATTGATAATGTAGTTGATAAGTATTATAGTATTGATAATAATTATAAGGTATTGACTCCAGTAGATATTAAGGTATTGATGGTGTGATTTGATGAAGATTATCCTATTTGGAGATATTTGACAGACTTATATATTTTTTAGTTTATTTATCCATACTTGATAAGGTATTGACCATAAATGATTAAAACAATGTAGTCTTCTTTTTGAAAGGGGTAAATTGGTAAAGGTTGGCAAAATGAGCCGGGCTTGTAAATGATGCCTCCTGGGAGAAAAACTATGCTCCTCGCCAATTCTCCATCCTGAACATCAAACGAAGCGTCCCCACCGTGTCCTGCCAAGCAGCAAGAGACCAGAGTCCACATTCGTGGCTAATGTCGTTGTGCCGTACCCGGGCCCGGCATATGGCCAACTGCCATATACCCCACCCGCCCTATTCGATACTGCTGCCATCAACTCCAAACGGAGACCGCACATCTCTAATGCATATACACACCTGTCTCAACACCTAAAATGGTTGTAATGTCTATGACAGCCCAAAAGCGGGTCATACTACAAGACCTACGATGATCAATTCTAGGTGCCTGTGGGCCAGTGGGAATCACAGTGTTTCGCGTCTTGTACCACGCTCGTGACACTGATTTCCCGACCAAAGAATGAACTTTGCGTATAAAAAAGGTCGTTAGCATGAGCCAAAAATCGCCCAAGTCCCAACCCTTTAACGGAAAACCCCCAGAGGATCACGCCTCGTGAGCATGGAAACTTCTTTTTTTCATTCTTTGCGTCCATCCACAAACATGTACGTTCAATTATTTTCCAACTTTATCATAATCCAGTACTCTTGTCATCACATCACCCTCCCCGCTCCCTGAGCACTGATTATCACATCATCTATTATTCTATAAGTGACTGATATCCATGCCGTATGTATTGTTCACAGCTCAGTCACGTGCAAATGACCTTAAAATTATAATTAAATATTTCACCCAACCTCGAATCAAGCTATTCAAAAAGTCACATCAAATATTTATTTCAGATCAATTTCCCATGTGAAAAGGAAATATTTATAAAACACTCTAAAAAATCTGAAAACATTAACAGGCTCCGCAGAAGTTCAAATCATTCCCTACTGAAAATGTCGGGTAAGACGGTTGTGTGGTGTTGTGGTGAGTATTGTGTGGTGCCTGCAGAGTGGTGTGGGTTCTCATTTCAAAAAGGATGGCGGAGCACCACACAACCCCATAGTAAGGGTTAATCCTTTTCCTCCCCCCGCCCCCAGGGAAAAATAAAGAACGTTGCCCCTCCACTGAGAGACTATTTCTGGAATCAAAATCACCCCAAACCAACATCTAATTATTTTAGTCTTCTTCTTCTTATTTCTTGATTCCTAAAGGTATGACAATCGGATTGTCGGTCTGTTGGTTTCACTTGTTTTCTAAAAAGTACCAAAATAGACAGGAAAAGGTTTCTCTGAAATTTCTTAAACGGGCTAGGTCATGATAGATGTTATCACACCTCCCCTTATTTTATAAAATTGTAACTTATTTTTTCATTTTAATAGAAATGATTACATAGTCTCAGTATATGTATTTCACAAAAAAAGATGATCTGTACGTAATCAAAGATAAACAGTCTACGACCATCATGTAATCCTTGCTTAGGCCCTCCCTCCCCAAGTCTAAGGGTGATCCCAAATTATGATGAACAATAAAGATTCTACAATATTAATTATTTCTTACACCACAAAGCTGTTATTAATATTAACTAATATCAACTGAACGAATAATAAAATGTGAACTTAAATTCCCAATATCAAGAAAATACATGTCAAATGATTAGGAAAGAGGATTACGCAATACATCAGATGGAAGTGTGCGTTAGTTACGAAGCCTCTAGTGATTCTGGATCTTAGTTTAACACTCTTTCTCTGCGTAACAGCAGTGTTGATAAATAAAACCTAAAGCATCCAAGAAGTTAAATGAAAAACATCCCATATTGCGGATAATTACTCCATTTAAATTTATATAAAACAAAACAAAAGCTTGCCTTCGTTTAAAAAAATATTAAACATTACCCCCATTTACATGTTCCGAATACGAGAGATGCTTATTGGAGTGAATTGTTGGCAGACAATCAGTATTCAGGGAAAACATGAACAGCAAAAATATATGTTACAATATAGTTTTTTTTAAAATGAATAAAAGCTTAAACTCAAGACCCAGGTAAAAGAAGAAACATATTACTTTATCTGATAAATATGAGCATATTTCAAAATGGAAATGATTATCCCCTAACTGCTTTATTTCTTACTCGAAAGCAACCCTTTAATAGAAGTCCATAGAATACGATTCAATACATGACAAACAGTCTTATTTTCATTGATCAATTCATAAGTAGTGCTATTATGATTAGATCTGATCCTTACCTTTCTTCTCCGTCTAATTAAACATCTAGTCAACATATCAATTTTGCCTATTGATTAATTATTTACTATCTCTGAAACAATATTATTTGTGTCGTATGTACTGTACTTTAAGCAAAGAAAAGGCATCAAATTCTCACATTTTAACCTAAAACCCATAAAAAATACCAACATTTTTAGTAGTGTCCTTTAAAAATCTAAACGTTTTATGAGATCTCATCCTACATTGGTATATTATTTTAAGTCTCACTATATAAGCGCTTTTGAACTCTCTCTCTCTTCCGCCCATCGTCCCCAGGCTGAAGCAGAAGGGCAGGAAGGCCGGTGGCCAGAGCCGCGCCGCGGGGGGGGTCCACTCCACGGCTGCAACGCAAACATGGAAGGGACAGTTCAGTCCTTTATTTATTTCTTTATTCCAATGTTACAGCAGCATAAAAACAGTGGGGGATACTATAATGTAATATAAACACTATGTACAAGAGAAAAGACCGTACGAGTCGCACAGTGAACGCAGGGGCACACGTCCCACCACCCTCCCAGAAAGAGCCAGTGTGAATAAAGCTGAGGATAATAAGCTGAGCCAGACTCAGTGGACCTGAACAGACCCAAACAGAAGAAGTACAGAAACAGCAGCAACGAGCTCCAGCAGGTAGTGAACAGAGCAGCAGACTGCTTTCATGACGCGCCACCACAACAGAGATTAAAGGGTTTATATGTGAGAACATGAACATATCTCTTCACAGCTATCTCAGTGAATTAAGGGTTTATTTTGACCTGCTCCAAAACCAACCAATCAATATAACTGAGACAATGTGAAACCCCCTCAGGACACACTTTATATCTATAGATCCTGTCCTGGTTGTAAGAGTGTAGACTTTAATGAACCCGCTGCCTCCGATCGGCGTTTCAGTCTCTGTACAAACGTCTCCTCCAGCCAGAGCTCGGCAGCGGTCGGAGGTCAGATCGCTGCTGGAAGCTGTCTTGCTTCGTTAGCACTCAGCCGGTCATCCAGACTTTATCTGGGACACGTGCTCTTTATCAGCTGTGTGTCCCACCGCGGTCCAATAAAGCTCAGTGCAACCAGTCAACCACAGCTCACTGAGGCCACACGGTAAAAAAACCTTCACACAGACAGATGTTGTGTAATGATGGAAGCTTTGAAACGTAGAATAAATGTTGTTTATCAGTGTATAAGCATTGGTAAACTGTCCAA